ATTATTCATATTCTGAATGAAATAAAAACTCACATCAAAGTTTATGATTTAGAGAAATCATCTTAAAAAGCTTTCTTTTTATAATGTATACATACATATTTATTTTCACAATTTTTTTTATATTTTTTTACTTTAAATATATCTTCATTTTTGTATTTTTTTTTGTTTTTGAATTAAGGATATTTTTTTAAGACTGTATATTTATACAATAATTTAATTTCCGAATAATTAATAATTAATAGTCTGAAAATAATTTCAACATATTATAATTTTGTTTTTGTTTTTAATTCTTTTACATTTTTTAGTTAATTTATTTTAAATTAATTTTTACTTAATTTTATTATATTTTTACATACATTTTTATTATATTTTTTTAATTTTTGTTTTTTAATATTTTCATATTCAATTTGACGAATAAGAAACTCACCATAAAATGTATTATTAAAAAAATCATTTTAATTTCATCAATTTAAAACCTGCAGTTTTGTTATTATCATATCCGAAACCTGTCTGTAATAATTTAAATTTCTTTAATTTAACTTAATTGTATGTATTTAATTATGCATGCAAGTCAATAAACATTTGTAAATTTATACAAACAGCTTGTACTTCCAAGAACATATTTAGCAGCAAATATACAAAATATATACGTTCAACTAAATAATATAATATTAATAGGCATACGAAGCTTTTTCTGGATTGAGCTCAAGTTCCAAACGAAATAGAACTAACATTAATACATATATAGTTATAAAGAGTTACAAACGTTCAATGGCAAGAAAATAATAACCCACATACATATATATTATATATGTATAAAAATATCTAAAATTGTTGTTTCGAAAGTGTTTTGCAAGTTCCCAACCATTAAAAAACAACGGAAATATACATATTAACATATAAATGTATGGAAAAATTATAGATAAACTGTCGGCTATATACGTATATACCAACATTCACACATACATATATTCACACACTAAACATATAAACGTAATTTGTATATACATAACAAACATTTGTATTTGTAAGTATACTTACGCTCTGCAAATAATCTGAATGTTAACTGTTGCATATACATACGTAGATTATAGACATACATACATATAACATAACTAAAAAATACAATCACAATTAAATATATGATAATATTTAAAATTAGAAAGGGATTAATTAAAAGTGTTAAAATGCATGCAATAATTACTAATAACAATAATATGTATACTTACTAATAACTAAGCAGCGGCCGGACCAAATTCAATGTAGATGAATATCTCTTAAAAACTAGCAACTTACCACCAAAATCGTCACTGGCATTAAAATTTATTAAATGTGTTTGCATAAAAACGATATACATATGTATATACTTGAATGAAAAAATAAAATTTATGCAAAAGCACATTTATTTCGACTCCACTATTCTTTGAGTTTATACATAAATCCTTAATAATAATTTGATTTTTGAAGACTCATAATAAATTGTGTATATTTATTGCGATTAATTATTGTTTACTTTTTTATTTACGTATAAGTATATTTGTTTGATTTATATTTGGTTTGATAAAGTCATTTGCGATTTCATTTTTCTTACTGATTAGATTACCTAGATTTTTTTTCAAACCCTCTCTCAAGTTTCAGTTTTTGCCTTAAAAAAAGGATACAATATAAACAAGCTCTTTATTTTAGGTTTAAAGCTTGGCTTATTCATATTTCTTTCACCAAGTGTGCATATAACGTGGATTTTATGAGTTTTTTTTTCAATGAACAAGTAAGCCTACAACTTTAAAAATTAATATTCTAACACAAAACTATCCGCGCTATAAAAAAGTTTGGATGACTTTTACCATAAAACATTCCTTTAAAAGTTATATCCAGTCAAAGTTATCATCAAATGTACTGAGCATTCACACAAGTGATTTATACACCCTGTGTTGCTCATAAGTCATGGTGTACTGTATGGATGCTCGTACAGCGCATTTGATGCATAACTTTGACTGGGTATAACTTTTAACGGAATGCTTTTACAATTGCAAGGACCTTTTTTGTAGACTGGAAAATTTTTTATTAAAAAATATTTTTTTCAAAATTATAGAAATGCTTGCTTAATGGAAAATAACAAAACCATGTTATATGCTACATGGGAAAAGTAAAACGCTTTAGGCACGGGAAGAGTTTATTTACTGTGTATATATTTTTGGAGCAAAACCTAAAGCTCAACTTCAGAGTAACGGTTACACTAATATACCAACCTATTTAAATCGAATTTCACCCCTAAAAACGATTATATCAGCCGCTTCATTAATTGACATCAAATAATATAATATTTAGGCGAAGGCATTCATATGCATGCATATGCATATTATATGAATGTACTACATGCATGAATGAAGTGTATTGCTTTAATAATTACTACAAAACCAAAGAATACTAGAATTTGTTAAATTTATATAATGCTACATGTATTTATATACACATACATATATATAAATATTTAAACTATAAACTATAGCCCAATAATTGAAGATCTCAACTTTTAACCAACATGCATACATATATACATACTACATGCAAATGTATGTGCATATGTGCATATATGCGCAGCAGCGTTAGTAATACTAGAACAAGAAATTACCTATATATATATCGAACCTTCCTATATATGTTATGACGCATTCAACTTTAATGCCTTTACAAGAAGATAAATTAATCTTCTTCATCTTGTTAATCAATAATAAATAATTAATGCAATTGTAAACAAAAAAAAAAAAAAAACTGTAAGTATATTAGCCTGATGTTGAGTCGTTCCATTACATACTGGTATATTCTAAATATATACAAATGTTTAGTGAAAATATTATTGTCATAACTTTGCGTTAATGAGAAAATGCAACAAAATGCAATATGCGCTAACGAAATAAATTTAGACAAGAACATGAAAATAATATATAAAAAAAGATATTGCAACGTTTCCATAAGCGTTTACATTATGCAACAAAAAAACCATAATTTGAGAATGGTTGAGTAAAGCGCCTGGAAATATTCAACGTTATATAATTTGGCTCCGCATGAATGCTTGCAAAAGTGTAGCGAAAAGGGCGAACACAAGCACACATTAAAGTTGCATACATTAGAAATTATAATTTTTTTTATTTTTTCGTCAATTGGTTTATAATTTATAATTAAATGCATACATAATATTTTACTTTGTATACAAATTTATATACGGGCATATGCTATATACTACTCGAGCTCAAACTTGACTCAGCCTAGGCCATTTCAATTGAGCGTGCAACCGGCTTTTGT